GCAAAAAAAAATTTGCTGCCCCACCATATGTCCTGCCCACCATGTGACATCACAATGCCCCGCCCATATGCTCTGCCATATGGGCCAATGCCAGTCTTCACAAAGTGTCTTTTATCTGAAAAGACAGTGTGTTTACATTAAAAAGCCTACAGGCACAGGCTATAGACACCAGAACCACTACATTATGCTGCAGTGCTTCTGGTGACTATAGTATCCATTTAATGTGAGGTAAATTAGAGATTAGTGCCACTAATAATATATTGGATTGCCTACTTACCACCAGATGAGGACAAGAGGCTGATGATGGTCTCAGTCTGGCTCCACAGGTCTGGTGTAGAACAGGAAGCAGCGCCATTTTTTGGGGCCCCTTACAGAGCTCAAGTTCTGGGTCCCCGGGGCTTGACCGTGAGTATGCCTACAATGCCCATCCATAAATCCACCTACATGGCCCACCCATGAGTTCTCTCACAGGTAGTGGAGTGTATGTGTGTAGGGGATGTTTTATGTGTTATTGTAGAGGATGCAATGTTTGTGTATTCTTATAGAATGTAGTGTATAGGAATACCAATTTGTGTAAGGGATGTAGTGTGTGTAAGGGATGCAAGGTGTGTTTCTGTGTATGTAATTGAATGCAGTGTGTGTCTGTAAGGGGTGCATTGAGTGTGTAAGAGATGCATTTTGTTTCTGTGTGTAAGAAAATGTTATTTTGCCTAGGGCGGCAAAACTCCTTGCACCGGCCCTGGCTGTAGGCTGTCTCTGCAGGCTGGGAGCTGCTGTCTGGACTGTCAGTGCTGTGTAGCTGCTCCCCCGCGGATCAGTAAGTATAGAGAGATGCAGGTATATGTTGTAACTTCCTATCCCTGCCTTCGGGTGTGTCTGTGTGTGAGTAAGGATGCATTGTATGTTTCTCTGTGTGTGTGTGTGGGGATGAATAGTGTATGTGTGTAGTGTAAAAGAGAGGGTTTGTGGGGTAGGATAGGGACTGAGAGGGGAGCAGCTCTTTAATTTGTTAAAAAAATGTCATAGTGCTCACCCCTCCTGTCAATTACTGTCCTCCCTTTCTGTCCCTTAGTACTCTCCCTTGGCCCCCTGTCCCGTTGCAGTCCCCCCTTGGTGGTCTCACTCCCCTCTCTCCCTCTTAGTGGTCCTCCCTCCCTCAGTGGACCACCCCCTCCTCCTCCCCCAGTGGTCCTTAGTCCCCCCTCCTCCTCCCCCAGTGGTCCTTAGTCCCCCTCCCTCCTCCCCCAGTGGTCCTAGTCCCCCTCCTCCTCCTCCTCCTCCCCCAGTGGTCCTTAGTCCCCCATCCCCCAGTGGTCCTTAGTCCCCCCTCCGTCCTCCCCCAGTGGTCCTTACCCTCCTCTTCCTCTTCCCTCCTGCCAATGTAACGTGGCTGGGCGGCACGGAACGTGGGACACTGGGCGGCACTTCCTGTCAGTCCGCCGGCAGCCGGGTACAGGAAACAGAGGTTCCTGTCCCGCGTTCCGCACCGCCCGGCCACGCTACATTGAGAGACCGGCAGGAGGGAGCGCTCCGGCCGCCCTCCATACAGCAGTGCTGCGCCGCCTAAGGCTTGCTAAAGCACTCAGGTGGCGCAGCATGTTGGAGCCGCACCAGTGATTCCTGGTGCAGGGATCCGGCGCCCTCCGCTAAGTTGCGCCCTAAGCGGCTGCCTAGGTCACCTTACAGGTAGCGCCGGCCCTGCCTACAGCTCAGGGAAGTGAGGGATGGGATAAAGGCTGCAGGGAGACATGGGGACACAGACACTAGTGGACACTGTGAGATATGGGGACAAAGGAAGACCTGTGGGGACGCTGAGACACAGGCACACATGGGGACGCGGGACACAGACACATATGGGGACACTGAAACACTAGGGACACAATGTCTCTAAGTGTCTTAGTGTCCCCAAGTTTCCTAGCCAGTGTCCCTGGTGTCTGTGTCCCCATGTCTCCCAGTGTCCCTAGTGTCTCAGTATCCCCATGTCTCCCAATGTATAGACACTCACCCCACCCCTGGTGATGGCTCCTCCTCCTCTCACAGCAGCCGGGTCTGTAAACGTTAGAGACGCCGGCCGCTGCAGCTTTGTTAGATTTAAGGGTTTTTCAGTTAACCCTTAAAGTGCCATATCAGGATTCATCTGTGGGTGAAACACATGCTTCCCTGCAGCCAATCAGGGAGTGCTTTAGACTATTTAAACCTGTTTTGTCCATTTCCCTGTCGTGGTTTCCATGGTGGTTGTCCGAGAGCGCGTTCCTGGTATCGATTCTAGTGTTTTTGACCTTGGCTTCCCTTTTGACTATCTGATCTCTGTATTCATTGACCTTTGGCTTGGCTCCTGACTACTCTGAATTCTCCATTCCTTGACTCGTGGCTTGTTCATTGTTTCTGTTATTTTTCTACGTCTTGTGGTTTTTTCCTTTATACGTTAAATCCGGCCATTCTAAGGCCCGGTAATACATTTTGGGAATTTTCTTCATATCTAGTTCTGCGTGTTGGGCATCAGCTATTCCTGACAGAGACACTGGGAGCAATCTATCTATACAGCAAAATCAAATTGTAAGTAGTTTTTTGGTGGTTTTACAGAATTTTCTCCAGTGAGGACATCAAGTTTATGTAGAGCAGCAGAAGTGGAAGTCAATGCTGCCGGCCATTCAATGATGCTGCTGGAGTTTCATAGTGGTTGGACTGTGTATGTACATCATTTCAAAGCGAAACTCTGCACATACAGACTCCAGGTACCATGACTACTTCAAAACGCTGGGTCATGGTGCTTGGAGTAACAGTTTAGTGGATTAAGGAGTGCAACTGAGGGAACCCACCATACTTACCTCTTTATCATTTCCAAATACAGCAGAGATGGAAGCCATCATTGCTCTATGATACTCCAGTAGATCCCTATTCACTAAACAGCTTGAGAAACCTATGTATTTTTATCAAGCGGTTTTTATGAATGGGTATCTACTGATTGGCTTACAGTGTCAGCTGATGTTCTCAGTTAATCAGAGATGCCACTGTCCACGGCCAGGGCCGTCTTTAACGCGGGGCAAACGGGGCAGCTGCCCCGGGCCCAGTTTCTCTTGGGGGGCCCGAGGCACCTGCCCCGTGGGCCCCGCTGACCCCGGCGGGTGGGTGGCCGGTCGGGCGGGCAGGAAGGCGGGCGCGCGAGGGAGCACTCACTGCTTCCTCTTCAGCTCCCTCGCGCACCGCACTGATGCCGGAGCCGGAAGATGACGTCATCTTCCGGCGCCGGCATCCCTATGCGGCGCGCGAGGGAGCTGAAGAGGAAGCAGTGAGTGCTCCCTCGCGCGCCCGCCTTCCTGCCCGCCCGCCCGACCGGCCACCCGCCCAGGAGCCCAGCAGCACCACTGGACCCCAGGGAATCCCCCCAGCACTCCAAAAGGTAAGGAGGCTGGGGGTATTACATTAAAAAAAAAATGTGTGTATGTGTGTGTTAGTGTGTGTGTTTGTGTGTTAGTGTATGTGTTTGTGTGTGTTAGTGTATGTATGTGTGTGTTTATGTGAGTTTGTGTGTTAGTGTTTGTGTGTTAGTGTGTGTGTGTGTGTATGTATGTGTGTGTTAGTGTATGTATGTGTGTGTTTATGTGTGTTAGTGTGTGTGTTTGTGTATGTGTGTTAGTGTGTGTGTGTGTTTGTGTGTTAGTGTATGTGTGTGTTAGTGTATGTGTGTGTTAGTGTATGTGTGTGTCAGCATGTCTGTGTGTGTGTCAGTATGTCTGTGTGTGTGTGTCAGTATGTCTGTCTGTCTGTGTGTCAGTATATGTGTGTGTATATCTGTGTGTGTCAGTATGTGTATGTGTCAGTATGTCTGTCAGTGCGTCAGTATGTCTGTTAGTGCATGTGTATGCATGTGTCAGTATATCTGTCTGTGTGCCAGTATGTCTGTGTGTGTGTGTGTCAGTACATCAGTCTGTGTGTGTCAGTGTATGTGCCTGTGTGTGTGTGTCAGTATTTCTCAGTGTATGTGGGTGTCAGTATATCTGTCAGTGTGTGGGTGTCAGTATTTCTGTCAGTTTATGTGTGTCAGTATGTTGATCAGTGTATGTGTGTGTGTGTCAGTATGTCGGTATATGTGTCTGTGTGTCAATATGTCTGTATATGTGCCTGTGTCAGTATGTCTGTCAGTACGTCTACCAGTGTATGTGTCTGTGTGTGTGTCAATATATGTACCTGTGTCAGTGTGTCTGTCAGTGTATGTGCCTGTTTATCTGTATGTAGTCAGTGTATGTATCTGTGTATCTGCTTGTGCATCAGAGTGTGTACCTGTGCATCTGAGCCGCAACTTTAAATAAAAATACACCCCTCCATTCAAACTTCAACACTACATATATAACACACTCCTGCATTGAAACGTCAACACTACATACAAGCACACTCCTACATTCAAAAACAAACACTACACATAAATGCACACTTGCATTCAAACTCCAGTACCACATACAAACACATTCACACAAACATACTCCATACAAACACATGCTTACATTCAAACATACTAATGAAAGGGTTAATGTTGTAATGGACTCTAATCCCCTCGGTTCTCGATCCCTCGGTCACCATAATCAACGTTGATGGAGAATCATTTGTAAGCAATAACACACGGACAACAGCTTTACAAGACTCTCAAATGAGTGTATTCCAGAGCTGGCTTTTATACATAGTTTGCTTACATTAGCCATGGTATATGCAAATACAGTACAGACTATAAGATTTATTACTTCCTTGTATTACGATATTCTGACAATGGAAAGATAAGCTTTTGCATACGTCTGGAAAAGAATATCCTTAAAATCGGAATGGGCAAGACATCCTGAAATTTAGCATTGTCTTACATCCTATAGAAGAAATACCTTAGTCTGTCACAGTCAGCATATTGACTTTAAGTATTCAATATCCCTTCAGTCAGCAATAATCATGTTATAAACCTTATAAAAGCATAAAATACATATAAACAAGTTAACTATTTAATATTCTTACATTCCCCTCTTTGAGCAATAAAACAATTGCTCATCTTATCGATAAAATCTTACCAGGACAGAGAAACTTCCACATGGTATTTTCAGGGGTGCTAGTCACTCCCTGCGGGACTTTCATTAATTTCTTCACCTCGATTCCCATGTGGTAATTCCTAAGGCCCAGTTTAAAGATGGGTTGATACTCTACAGTGGCAGAGAGGAGAATTTCTAATTGTTTCTGTTCTGCATTATGGATTAATTTCTGTACTCACTTCCTCAATGTACAACTAAGGTGACAGTTATATAAAATCATACACAATAAAATCAGGACTATAATAACAAAATGATAGAAGAATGATTTCATTATCTGGAATCCAGTAGGGGACCAACCAGTAAAGCATTGTACCAATTATGGGCTAAATCATTCTGAATTTGTGAACTCACCTTAAGGAGTTCTCCTTTTAGGATATGTGTGGCTACCTGTGTGTGTTATCTTTGGGAAAAATATAGTCCCCTGTGTATGTGGGTGCCCACCAGGTTAAATTCTTGGCAAAAAGATCATAAACTGGTACTGGTAATGTGTTAAATTGACAAGCTAATTTAACATCCTTTGATGTTGTATGATATAATGTAAAATAGCATGAGCATGAAAAATGTGAAACATTACCAGTTAACCATCCATTGCATTTACTGTATTGGGGTTTTAGAAGTAACCATTCATTATCTGTGAGGTTACGCTTTCCTCTAATCTTCTCTAGTTTAGGAATCATTAGTGTGTTTTCTAATGCCAATCCTTGTTGTATCCATAAATACCTGATGGCACAAGTACTCCAGTTACTTAGACCTGTAGTGAATTTCATAGTTGCAACAGTTAAATTATCTAAATAATTATACATTGATTTATCTAAATCCAATCCTGTAACCTGTGATTTAACAACAATTGGAGCCCAGTTTGCAGTAGCATGGAAACCAGTCCCTATATGCATACTGGCTGTGTTTAACTTATTCTTGAGGGTCTCCATATCTATAACTATTTAGTATACCCATAGTGGTTCCAGCACCATCTAACAGTGTGTCATACCATTCCCTTTTCTGCCTTTGTTTGTTGTATTACATAATGTTACAATAAGAGTAGTGATTTTTAATGACACATGTACAGCTTGTAAGAAGGCAGTTGTATTAACACATGTGGACGGAATAGGTGTGTGTGTGTGTCGTGTTTGACTTTTGGTTCTATGATAGTGGATTAAGGACAGTAATAAGGTGTAAAAATATAAGGTAGTGTATAGTTCTCAATTGCAGTGTCGTTCATAATGACTAACATTTGTCCCCTTTTCCAATTAATGATACCAGTTATATAATCATTATTAAAAGTAATAAGGCCTGTCTATTTACATTGATATGCAACCTTAACTGTGCACATTTCTGCGTTATAAGATCTAACAATTTTCTGTGAACCTTTAAACAAACATAATGCATCGGTTTCATTAGCTGTGGACACATTCCATATGGGTAACTGGTACTTATAAGGGTTACTATTTGTCCAATTCATCCAAATGCGTTCAGTGAATGAATGATTGCATATTGCATGCTAATAGAAAGGTGGTGGAGAAAGGTTCTTGAGGGGGCGTGTGTGACGAATGCTAGATGAGGGGCTAAGGCCTAATTGGGCTGGGGGTATTGAAGAATTGTTCATCATGTCAGAGTCTTTTTCCAGAAACAGACAGGTTTCAAACTTGCTATTGACTTGTACTCATAATGGCATTCAAGGAACAATATCAGAGGGAGTATAACAACTCCAGAAAGCATAGCGCACAACATAATCTTGGTCTCAGGTACGTATGATCCTCTCAATCTACGATATGGTGTAAAAGCCATGATGCTTCGCTGAGGAGAAATTCTTCTGTTTCCGAGCGAGGAGTGGTGTTGTCTTCCTTGGTTCCCCTCTTTGGACACAGCTTCACTCGGGATGCGTGAATCCAGATGTGGTGGGAATCTGTGAGGACAGCGGTTCTGGTTACAGCAATCACAGTAGCAGGTGGTCCAAAAGGGTATTCTCCTTTCTTGGTCCTGTTCAGCTGACGGATATACACCTTGTCACCGGGCTGGTATGAATGAGTAGGTTCCTGTGAAGGTAAGGGAAAACTGCGAAGAAACATTGTCATACATACCATTCAGTTTTATCAACAACTCCTGTACATATTGTTCTTGTATTAGCTGTAAATCCCCAGACATTATAACAAGCAGTTCCCTGGCCTAGGGTGTGGGAAAAGGTCATCCCATCAAAATCTCAAATGGAGATAATTTAGTCACCTTGTGGGGATTCATTCTTATCTCAGCTAAAATAGTTGGTAGATATCTAGTCCAATTTACCCATGTTCCTGGGTAAATTCTGGGCTTTTCCTTAATAGTCCTATTCATCCTTTCAACAACCCCTGTATTCTGTGGATGATAGGGTATATGAAACTGCCAGGTAACTTGCAAGAATTTAGCAAGTTCCTGGGCAACCCCACTTGCAAAAACCGGGCCATTATCAGAGCCAATCTGCAGAGGGCAGCAATACCGGGGAATAATTTCAGTAACAATAATCTTCACTAGCATCTTCCCTAGATGTCACAAAGGCCTCATGCCATCTACTAAACTGATTAACTATGACCAGTAAGTATTGCTGTTTCTTACCAATTTTGGATACATGAATAAAATCAATCTGTAAGTGTGTAAAAAGAGCAGCGTTCACACGATCTTACAAAAGACTGTACATGCTGCCTGAGATTCCTAATATAAAATGAATTCATGAGGAATTGAATGGTGCTTGCTATGTGCCTGACTGATGAAAATAAAACAGCTTGCTTCAAGTATGCCTATTCTTCAAGTATGCCTATTCTCCCCTCTTTAGAGAACAGCTCATTTTGATCTTTCTCTAAACCTTGTTTAATCCAAAAGACAGATTCTGGGTATTTAAAAAAAAAAAGAATCTCATAACCACTGAAGCGCTGGGCTGTCATGTGTTGTGTGGTGAGATTTGTCATCAGCTGAGTGACCTGGTGACTGGCATGAAGTATTGTAGGATGCCCTAGTGTGATAGTAGTAGCAGTTTCAACAGCCATTGCACATGCTATCAATGCTCTGAGACACGCCGGCATACCCTGTACCGGAGCTCGAACTACTTTGGAAAAGAATGCTATGGGACGCATACCGCCTCCTTGCTCTTGTGCACAGACTGCGGCCATGGTTTTACAATTGTCCCAAGCATACAAATGAAATGGTTTACAACACACAGGTAGTCCTAAAGCCTGGGCTTGCACAATAACAACTGTAAGGGCAATATATGCAGCTAGCATGTCTGGTGACCAGCAGACATTTTCAGGGCTGTCAGAACGTACAGCCTCCCTTAGGATTGAGTTATAATGGGAGCATTCAGGGATCTATTGGTGGCAGTAATTAATCATGCCGAGGAAGGTGAGCAACTCCTTCCGAGTAGTGGGTGTTGGAATCCTCTGAATGACCTCAATACGTTTTGGACTCAATTGTCTGGTGCCTAAAGCCAGAACAAAACCTAAGTATTCAACCTTTGATTTACACAATTGCATTTTGTGTTTAACAACCTTGTGACCTACAGTTGCTGACAGTATCCACAGTGCTTGCCTCATAGCTAGGGCTACATAACAACAAATCATCAACATTTTGCAAAAAGGACGGAACCATGACCGGTGGTCCATGTTTTTTAGAGTATGTTGGAGTACCAACGAATAAACAGCTGGGGAATCCACATAGCCTTGGGTAAGCGTGTCCAGGTAAACTGACAGCCTTCAAAAAGTAAAAACCATAAGTAGCTGTGTCTCTTGATCAATAGGTATAGAAAAAATGCATTACTTAAATCAATGACAGTGAAGCAAGTGGCATCATGTGGAATGGCTGTAATGAGGGATGTCATATCAGGGACAATGGGTGAAATGGGCACAATTAAACTATTCAGGGCTCTAAAGTCCTGAACTAAGCGATATGCTGGCCAGTGGTGTTGGGAGTGGGTCTGGTGTTGTTCTTGCCTACCGGGCATATTTTGAGAATTGTGGGGTTGTTGGGGTGTGTGGGGTTCCCTGGGGTGTGGACACTCATTCCTCCAGTGGCCATATTGGCCACAGTTGAAACAAGTGTTCCTGTCTATTCCTCCTTGGTTACCCCTGCCCCTATAACCCTGATTTCCCTGTCTCCATCCCCTTGCCCCTCTTTGACCACCCCTTCCACTGGCTTTATGTGCTCCATCCCATCCACGCTCTCAGCCTGTGTAGCTGGACATAATATGTTGCAATCCCTGAGCATAATAAGCAACCTTACTTTCCTAAATCTTTTCTTAATTCAAAACAACCTGCATTTTCCTTTTCTATAACCTTGGTAAGAAAATCTGAGCTATCCAAATTGGCCCAGTCTGAAATCAATTGTTTCACAAGCAAATAATACTGTGGCAACATATTACCAAGGCATGACTGTATTTTAAAGATATCTATATCATCTCCAGACATCAAACCTGCCTCATCCTTCCAACACTTGTAAAATTTCTTTACAAAAATCATATTACCAATCTCTTCCTTTGCATCTTGCTTATATGCCAAAGCAGTGAATATAGACTGCTTATTCTTCCATAATCCCAACATTTCAGCTTCCACCTTGTTCTAAATTTTAGCACATCTTACTGAAGTACTAAGCTCATAATCACCAATTCATTTCAAACCATATAACTCATACTCAGCATCCCATGTAATATTAGTCATCTCACAAAACAATATCTTTGTAGAAACACATAATGGGTACCCAGCAGATATGCCAATACAGAAATCACATTTATGGGCACACAACAACACACTCTGTCTCCCTCCTAGGAAACACGGATAGACACAATATAAAAGCAATCTTAAACTAACACCTCCAAATCTCCAACTATTCTTGGCCAAAACGCTAGTATTCAACAACTAATAAAACAGTTATTTGCTAGGTTATTTGGCTGTCATTCTTATCAGTATCACTAGACTGTGACAAACTGATTCACATATAATTTAAAACAATACAGCAACATAAATTAAACCACTTTCAAGTTAAACTGCACACTTATCGCACATTATCACACATTATCACAATCACCATTTACACAAAATAAACAGTTAACAGCTGTATTCAGAACATATTATTGGAAGGTATACCAATTTTAGTTTAGATTTATTTTAGGGATTCTTATGT